AAAAAAAAAAAAAAAAGCAACTCACAAGCTTTGCTGTGATTAGGTTCTAAAGTCAACCATAGATTATCATCCCAGTCACTGGTTATCAGGAAAAGACAATGTGGGCAAATCTCAGCGATGATCTTCATAGTGATTTATGACTTCTTTAGCATATGTCATTTTTTCGCAATTTTAAGGTTTTTACACCCCTTTCCTTTTGCATTTTTATTAATTTTTAGCCAGTTATTCATACTATAGATCACATATAATATTGAAAAGATATAGTAGTCTTAAATATAAATGGAATTTTCATTCCATAGTCTTGGATCAGTTTCTCAACCTGTACCCAACTGGCATTTGGGGGTGTACAATTCTCTTCAGGAGGTGAGGAGGAGCTGTCCTGTGAACTATATAGTATATTTAGCTGCAATGTACTCCTAGTGTGACAACGAAAAATGGGCCCAGACATAGCCCAGTGTATCCTGGGAAGGCTCAAGTCAACCCATGAAAACCACTGAATTAATCAAATTGGCTCTGGTTGATGGGTAAGAATATATTAAAATGTGCTCACCTATATTTGCTAATTTTATAATGTGCATTCATTTTTTAAAAATGCAACAAAGGAAACAAAAGAAATAACAATGTCAGTAGGAAAAAAACTCAAACATGAAATTTTTCTGAAAGTACTGCTTAATGAAAAAACTAAAGTACCGCTGCTACCTTAGGATATGCTTTTTGCACCCAACCGTATGTAGGGCTTACAAAATCAAGTTAGTAGGTGAGGATTGGCATTTAAAAAAAGAAAAGTAGAGTAGAATGGAAATCATCAGATTGCAAAACAAGAAATGAGGTTATTAGTCAACTTTTTTCTAGTTTGTATATCACTGTGATATAAGAAATTTTTAAAGATCAAATCTATAGTTAGTGGATATTTTAAATTATTCTAACTTTTCATCATTACAAGTAGCCCAGAGTAGCAAGAGATGGTTCACAATGAGCTAGAAAACAGAAAGTGAGACAATTCCTAAAATTCTAAAAAGTAGACAAAGGCAAAAAGCTAAAATGCACAAGTATAGAGCAAAATGATTACTACCTGGAAACCAGTAACTGAGAACACTGGATAAATTGTTTCTTACTAAAAGTAAAGTAAAAAGTAAGGTTTTTCTGCCTTTGGTATCTGTCCCCTTCTGTACTGTTTTTCCTAAGCAACAAAGTTACCAAACGTCATTTATCCAGAATTTGTTCTAGCAGACCTCAATTAAGTTTACCTATGAAAATTAAAATATGCTGACATAAAAGATTATAGCCTTATTAACTTTTAAACCAATTTAAAAGAAATAGGTGTAGGGCCAGGGATGTAGCTCTGTGGCGCAGCGCCTGATCAGCAAGCGCAAGGCCTTGGGTTCGATTCCTGGTACCAAAAAAGAAAAGTGAAAAAAAAAAAAAAACAGAAATAGGTTTAGCCTTAAAGATTTTAACACAAACAGTAATAATTACAAAAGAATGACAGTAGTTTTGTTTTATTAAAGTTAATCTATAAGAGGATTTATATCAAAGTGCTTTGTGCTATTACATGACAC